GCACTATTCTAGGAAAGGTTTGTGATTTGTTAATTGATAGTGGATCAATATAAAATATTATATCCTGGGCTACTGTTCAAGCCCTGCAACTCAAAACCACTAAGAATCCCCATCTATACAAGTACAGTTGGGTAAAGGACATACAAGTTGTGGTAACTAACATTTGTTGTGTCACGTTTTAAATCGGCAAGCATTACTTATGCGAAGTTATATGTGATGTTATGGACATGAACGTATGCCACTTAATTCTCGGTCGATCGTGGTAGTTCAATACTAGAGCCATTCATGATGGTCACGCCAATTCTTATTCCTTTGAATGGAAGGGTAAACAGTTGCGTTTGCTCTCTCACTCAGTGGAGCCTACGACTAAAGGGGTGTTTTCGACTATATACATCGTCTCAGGTCGATCATTGCTATGCTTAGCACCACACCACACTTCCCTGTTAGTTGTTGTAGTCTTTGATACTCCTGAAACAACTCAAACCACAACTATACCCGAGGAAGTTCAACAATTAATTGTTGCATTTGCTGATATATGGCCTCAAAACTTACCCTCCCAGCTGCCATCGCTTAGAACGTCGCAACACCAAATTGAGTTTGTGCAAGGAGCCACATTACCTAACCTACCTCACTATCGAATGAGTCCCAAAGAACACTCCATTATGTAGGAAACGATTGAGGAATTACTGCAAAAATAATTGATCCACTCCAGCCTGAGTCTGTGTGTAGTGCCCACTCTTATAGTCCCCAAGAAGGATCGACAATGGAGAATATGCATTGATAGCCGGACAATTAGCAAAATAACTGTGAAATATAAATTCTCCATTCCACGGGTTAGTGACTTGTTGGACAAATTTAGTGGAGTTTCTGTTTTCTCAAAATTGGACTTAAGTTGTGGTTACCATCAAATCTGTATACGACCAGGGGATGAGTGGAAAATGACTTTCAAAACACGAGAAGGCCTATATGAGTGGAAGGTCATGCCCATTGGGTTTTGTAATGCATCTTCAACATTCATGCGGTTGATGAACGAGGTGTTGAAACCCTTTTTGGGAAGGTTTTGTGTGGTGTATTTCGATGATATCCTTGTATATAGCCACTCTTTTAACGATCATCTATCCCACCTGACTTCCATCTTTGAGAGCCTTCGTTAAAACAAGTTATATCTCAACTTAACGAAGTGTGAGTTTGCTGCCACTCAGAGTGCACTTCCTTGGTTTTATTCTTTCCAAGAATGGGGTAGAAATGGATCCACGCAAGATCTCAATCATTACAAATTGGCCGACACTATGTTTTTGACAGAGGTCCAAAGCTTTCATGGCTTTGCCAATTTCTACAGAAGATTTATTAAGGGATTTAACATTATTATGGCCCTCATTACAGATTGCTTAAAGCTTGCTTTGTTCAGCTGGATTGCAACTAAAAAAAAACAATTTTGAATCCATCAAAACTGCTCTAAGCTCAGCTCCAGTGTTGGTCCTTCCGAACTTTGAGAAGCCCTTCATAGTGGAAACAGACTCCTCGCTAAAGGGCATAGGAGCTTAAACTAGTTGAGTTCTTCAATGAAAAACTTAGCCTGACAAGACAAAACTGCTCCATTTTCGAGCAGGAGTTGTATGCTATAGTGCGAGCGCTAAAACAATGGGAGCACTACCTCCATCAAAATTTTGTTCTCTGAAGCGGCAAGCGACAACCAAGTGCTCCAATACATAAATAGTCAGAAGAACATAAATCGGATGCATGCCAGGTGGGTTATATTCTTACAGAAGTTTAGCTTTGTCATTCACCACAAAGCAGGAAAGCAAAACCAAGTGATGTTGCACTCAGTAGGAGATCGTCCCTACTCACCCTATTACAAACCGAAATCACAGGCGTAGGAAATGATCGAACTTTACAGCACAAATGAAGATTTTGCTAAACCATGGAAGGATTGCTGTGTGGAGCATCCAATCAGAGATTTCACAGTATGCCATAGATTTCATTTCAAGGGCAATTGTCTCTGTATTCCAGCACCCTCGTGGCGTCAGCAGCTCATTAAGAAGTTCATAGTGGAGGGCTTGCAGCTCATGTCAGCGTAGATAAATCCTTCCAACAATTGCAAACTGATTTTTCAGGCGTCATATGTGGCGGGATGTGTCACGACTAGTGGAACGTTGTTCAATATGTCAAATGTATAGAGGGTCTCAAAACATTGGTTTGTATATGTCCTTACCAGTGCCAAACTTAATATGGGAGGATCTCAGCCTAGATTTTGTTATGAGATTACCACGAACCAAACACGACGCTGATTTTATTATGGTTGTGGTGGACATGTTCTTTAAAATGATGCACTTCATCACTTGCAAAAGACCTTTGATGCAATGAATGTAGCTCGCCTCTTTTTCAAGGAAATTATACGCTTACATGGCTTACCTCGCAGCCTCACATCTGACCGTGACATTAAATTCATCAACCACTTTTGAAGATAACTATGAAAACGTTTGAAAACTGATTTAAAACTAAGCTCTGCCTATTACCCTCAATCGGATGGGATAATGGAAGTCGTGAAAAACACTCTTGGTAGGACTGCAAACGAACCAAGCAGAGCCGAGCTTCAGCCTGTTCGAGTTCAGACTCATTTGTTAAAATCGTGCTCAGGCTCGGCTCGAAGCTCGTCGAGCTTCATGGACACATGTTCTTAGGGCTGCAAACAAACCGAGCCAAGCTGAGTACGTGAGTGTTCATGTTTGTGTTCATTTAATATTAGCTTGTTCAAGTTTGGTTCATGTTTGTTCGAGCTTTATTGTTTGTGTTCATGTTTGGTTCATTTAAATTAATGAGTGTTCATGTTCGGTTCATATTCGATTCATGTTCAATTCATGTTTGTTCATTTAGTGTTTATCGAGCTTGTTTGCGAACATATTTAACAAATTTTTTGTAACTATCAAACAAACACATTCATGAATGTATCTATGAACAAACATATTTATAATAAAAGCAATTGTTCATGTAACAAAGGCAATGATTATTTATATTTATTAATTATATAGTCAAATATTAATTATTTTTATCGAGCTTATTCACGAGTTCAAAATCGAACACGAATTGAGCTTTTATCGAGCTTCTTATCGAGCTTAATGTCGAGCTTGTTCACGAACTTCAAATGATGTTGTTCGCAAACATAAATGAGCCGAACGCATTAGTGTTCAAGCTTGTTTATTTAATAATCGAGTATTTAATATATAAGAGAGAAGGCGGGCGGGTTGGGTTGGGAGTTTAAAAAATAATATATATGTATATTTTTCTGAGCGGGAATTGAGGCGGGAGAATAAGATATTTAATGGAGAGAAATTTTTTAATAAAAATTTAATAAAATATTTCTAATTAGTTAGATTAATAAAAAATTAAAATATGTCTAATAAATGGTTAAAGTTAAAAATATTAAATTAGTAAAAATAAATTATTAAATTAGTAGACTAAATAGTATTTATTTTTAAAACTAATTGAGCTCTAATCGAGCTTATTCACGAGCTTAAAAGATATTGTTCGTGAAAATAAATGAACCGAATGACAAGCTGTTTAAGCTCGTTCATTTAGCTATCAAATATTTATCAAGAGTGTTCAAACTCATTTGTTTATCTTATCAAACGAACATGAACGAGCTATTATCGAGCCGAGCCACGAGCAGCTCATCAAACGCTCGACATATTTGCAGCCCTAACTCTTGGGAGCATGCTTCACTTCCTTGTTCAATATCATCCAAAGTAGTGGGAAGAAGTACTTAGTTAGACCAAATTTGCATTCAATTCGATGCCCAACAGATTGACGGGTCAATGTCCATTTAGTATAGTTTATACTACAATGCCTAACCATTTACTCGATCTTGCAGTTATGCCCAAATGTTACAACACATCGGTAACCAAATTCGTGGATGGCTTTGCAACTATGTTTAAAGAGATTCAAACCAAGCTACAAACTGCTAACAACAAGTTGATAGTCACCGCAGATCCAAAGTATTTGAACTTGGAGACCTCATCATGGTTCGCTACGCAAGGAGAGGTTCACAACTGGCACTCACTCAAAATTGAGCCCACAAAAACTTGGCCCGTTCTCTGTCAAACATAAAATTAATGATAACGCGTATGTTATTAACCTCCCCGCCGACATCCAGACTTCATCAACTTTCAATGATAAAGATATATACAGTTATCATCCTCTAGATGATTCAACCACTATCACCACTTCGACAGGGGCGAACTCTTTGGGGTGGGGGAGAGCTGATGTGGAACATCGTATGCTACACCCCAGGGGCACCACACCTTGTGCTTGCCACTCCACAACTCTATTACAACTTTATTCTCTTTATAGTTACAATAGTACATTTCTCTTACTTTTGCTTGTGCAGTTTGATTTAGTATTGCTACAGTAGTATGTTATAGGACACTCGGGAATGTTTTACATTTGACAGAAATATACTCTGCTGTTTTACCTCCTACATTGTTCTGGTAATCTCTGTCTTTGTTTCCATCCTTGCCATTGTTAGATCAGTTTAGATGTCCTGAACTACTGAATTTGGCCAATAAATACTATGTTCTATATATTTATGGCTGTCAAAACAGCTTGTTGATGACGAATTGCTCATGTTTTGCTCATTAAGAAGCTCATTTTTAATTTGTTTATTAAGTAGGCCAATTAGTGTGCAGTTTCATTTCAAGCGTGTTGCACTCGCATGACTTAGTTTGGGTGCATATTTCATTCTCAGCTCTCAAGAAGTGATTTCGTAAATAAAGCTCATGAACTTAACTCTTTGGTATTTCAATAAAACTGAATGACTGTTTTACCTAATGCTGATCCCCATCCGTGATGTTGTAAATGACAATGATTTTGAATGAATGATTTCTACAAATAATATTTTGCTTTAATACATTTGCTGCATGTCATTACTTACTGCTTGATTAGCCTTCCCCTTTGCTTGATTCAGGAAGTAAATGAGAATGACACGTTTTGTGTTTATGTTTCAGCCATTTAAGGAAGCTGTGAAAATGGATTTATCTAATATCCCAAAAGGTGCAGTAAGTACGACTGCAAAACCCTGTTGACAAAACTACCTAGCTGTTGAAAGAACAATTATGTGGAAATATGGTAAAGTAATTCAAGACTTGGTACTAAGGCTTGAGAAATGTAGAGACTGGTGAAGCTTGAACTGCAGCTGATTTGGGTCCACATCCAATGCTCCAGTTTTGTAAGTTTTCTCTACTATAATCAAGTATTTTTTATTTGTTGTGATCGTTGCATGGAGCTTATGAGGTTATTCTCCTTCAAGCTTTTTGAGATCAAATTTTATCTGATATTGCCTATGGTACATCATTATCCTTCTGAATTCATGCACAGAAACAAACTATCTTTGTTATTATGTTACCATGTTTGATTAATGTTATTGTAAATGTAGTATGTCATTTAATTACTTGAAGCCTATTTCACCTTTTTTCTAGTTACTTAAGAAAAAAAATTGAAATTATTTTTTAGAAGATATTACGAAGTTCCAGAAAAATGGCGTTTTTGGATTGAAGTGAAGTAAATAGAATTTAAACTGAATAATTTAGAATTTGATTGTGATTTTGTAATCATTGATTTGAACCTTTTTTTTTTTGTTTTATGCCGAAATGCACTTCATGTTTCGATAATTTATCTCATATGCACTTCAGTACTTCATCCTCTGCATATAACTCCCATTAAACTTTATAGTATGTATGTAATCATATAATTTAATTATCTCATTTGCATTTCACCCTTAATATATCAACAACATATTAAATTAATTTATCAAATTATTCAATTATAATGATTATGTTAATAAGATAAATATTGAAGAGGGGGTGCATTTTATCCTTTTTTTGGGTAATTTTTTTCTTCTTTTTTTATTTTAATTTATCACCAAAGACTTGAAATTACTTTCTTAGTAATTGTACCGTGTGGGAAATAAAAAAAGACACACACACAATTATCAGTTCAATAAAATCATTATTTAAAAAAAATATATCGACTTAAATTTGATTATAACATTTCTATTTATTAAATTTATGTTATAATGAATATAATGTAAGAATTTGTTGTTTAATTTTATAGTAATATTATATTTGTCATATTCTAATATAAGTCTTTAAGAGTTTTAAAAAGGGGCATGAAATCTTCGGCTTAGGATCAGCAATATTATACTAGCTGATGTTGGATGCTTAGCAGTGATATATTTTATAGAAATTATTTAAATGTATTAAATTTTATTTATTTATTTATTCAGATATGCATCAAATTTGTCAACCTTTAACTCCCACTTTTTATCAAAAAATATCATTGTTGATTACTTATAAAAATGTTATTTATATGAGATCAAATTGAATGAAATTCATTAGATATATAATCTTGTTATGTAAATAAAAAAATTACTAATTGATAATATTTCATTTGAAATACTTAGTGTTGTTTAATTGCTTGTTAAAAAAATTAAGTTTTTTTTTTTAATTTGATTGAAAGTAAAATGAATTAAAATAATTTTATTTTTATACTTTTAAGCTTATATTGTTGTATTAAACTGATTTTTATCACAAATCATTAACCTTAAATATTGGATTGGATTTTCAGACTCATCTGTGATAGCTTCAGGCACACTTGTTACAATTTTGACCCAATAGTCAAAATTTGTCCCGAGTTAAGGAAAAAATAGTTACGTCAAAAAATGCAATTAATACAGTCAGAAGTGTTTCTGTAACCCAAGTTTATTCGCGGGGGAAACCCACCGATACACGAAATACGTGCAAGATCATCAACCATAAGAATTTTATTTGTTCTTCACTTTGTGCTTTCATTTGAAATTTCTCTTGATCAATTTTGTTTTGAACCAATTAAGAAGACTTCTTTCGATGCTTGAATTCAACTAGTTGTATAAGCTTGAAATTGGGTTGCTATTTTTGTTTGATTGGGGGTTTCGCCCAAAAAGCTCATTTCTTTCCGGCTGACTGGCTGAGTCTAGCGCCTTTACCAAGTCCAATTTGGAAAGAACTTGATCCAAACTCTTCTTCTTTCTATCTTCAGCTCTAAAATTGAGTTCAACTTCCAGCCCATGTTCTCCGGTAGCGTTCATTCATATAGACAAAAGTAAGAAAAAAGAAAAAGGTCTTTCTGGTTTGGCTAAAACACCACACCCATAAAGAAAACAATTGAAAAAAGCGTTTCATGCAACCTTTCGGGATGAATTCTATCAAATCTTCTAGCGATATCCATGGCTTCCTTCATAAATCGGTAACTTAGCCCAGGAGCCGGCGAAAACTAAAGAAATTCGACTTTGAACTTCGGAGAAAGCAGCCTGCGCAGATGAAAGAAAGTCTAGAAGAACATTCGTTTATAGCTCTTGACGTTTCTTATTTTGCTGCCATTTGAATGAGCTTTTCCTACCCGCATTTTAAGTCTGATTATCCGATACCGGCTTATTTACCGTCGGGTTGAAGATCCTTATAAGTTTATCTCAACCTATAGCATGAGTTTTCATGTGTTGGCCATGCGAACTCTGCTATTGCCACTAAACTTTCATCTAAAGAAAATAAGTACTTGAAAATTTGTTGGGGGAAACGTATGTGGTGACTCGATTAGAAATTAAAATATTTAACTTAACTCCAAAAATTGTGATTAGTAACTACTTAGAAACTCATAGAATTACCCACCCTCTTGGAGATAGATCCTTGCCGAAAAACTCTTTAGCTGATAAAGGCAGTGTAATAAATGAATCTAAGATAGTTACGTGTGATGTTTTAGAGAAAGAAGAATCACATCTGCATGGAAAAATTGATTCTCAGATGTTAAAGGGCTCTACGCTGATGTGGTTTGATAGTAATGTGTTCACGAAGTCGAGATTGCTTATGTATAATCAGCATTTCCAGCTTCCATTTTTTCCCGAGCTAAAAAGTTAAAACTTCATTCTATCTGCAGTGGCCAGGACTTCACGGTGGAGGCTTAGGAGTTTCGGGTCGGGTTTGGATCAAACCGATACTCACCCGATTTGACCCACGTGGTTTAGATAGATTGGACCGGGCTGATTAAGGTATTTAGCTAATTAGCGGCTAAACCCGACCCGAAATCCATTTTTGACAGCTCTACTGAATATCTTGAGGGCCATATTTTGCTTGATCTTAATCGAGAATGGTTCCAGGTCTGTCTCCCTTACACGAGATTGCTACCCGTGCCATTCACGGCCTGAATTACATAACTTGACAAATTACCATATTTTCTGGCCATCTCCGTTCTTGTCGTTAAAAAACTGAATTCCAATTTAGTGATTGTGGGAGCCATTGCAGCCATTTCGATCTACTTCAGCTTTTGCAACTAATATTATGTCCTCTTCTGGCAGTTAGAAGGATCCAATTCTTGATAGAGCCTCCAGGTTGCAATGCTAGATATTTTTGGTTTCCAAACTTCTCAAATATCTTCCTTTTAGAATGCTTCATATCATCCGACAAGATACTATTTTACTTGTCAAATGAAATGCCATTTCTCGAACTTTGGAAGACACACTTGCTACAAATGCATCTCTGCATGATTATGTTGCTCATGTTGCTGTTGCTGTACCTTCTAAATTCACTATGGGGCTGTTTGGTTTACAGTATTAGTAGGGTAAAGTAATGTAATTACCTGCATTTTTTAAATTAGGATGTTTGGTTATTTTTAAGCGGAACATAAGGAAGTCGTCCGAAGCATTAATCGTGTATTAGCGGAGTAGAATCCCGCGACTTCGAAAGCCGCTCAATTTGAGCGGGTTACAAATTCCGTCGCGCTATAGCCATGGTGTCGCGGAAGCTGAGCTTATAAGTTCCTCTTCTTCTCCGTTCTTCCCACTCTCTCTGCTGCTCTCTTCCAAAATCCCCAACAGTTGCTGTCTCCCTCTCTAGAAGCCGAAGAAGACGCCTCTCACAGCTCACCGATTCATACGACCAGAAGATGCCTCGATGGGCTTCGCAGGCAGGATGGCAAGAACCTCAAGGCTGATTTTGGAGGATGAGTACGAGGTAAATTTGATTCCCGAAATCTAGTTTTCCTTCTGATCCCTTTTATTTTATTTTCCTTTTTCATGGATTCCGAGGATCTGTGTCTCAAATCCTTGATCAAAATTGTTTCTAGGGTTAGGATATGTACCGACTTGGATTACTGTGGAATTTCATCTTCATAGAGTTTTTATTTTGTCTATGGAAATCGCAGCCCTAAGAACTATTCTACCCAAATTCCATCTAGTGCATGGATTAGCATTACCCGTTTATAGTTTGTGTTGGGACTTGCTCGATTTGGATGCTATTGCGATCCCGTTCGCAGAACGGTGAAGACTGAAGCGATAGTCATTCTTGTATGGCGGTGCTATTATTTTAACTATTACAATGACTGAACTGATTCACTGAGAAATATAATCAGATCTTCCATTTCTTTGTTTCTCTCATCTTTCATGGTGTAATAGTATAGTTAATGGAATATGGAAGAATGGTGACAGCATTGAGATTATAGTTGTTGGACAGCAACTTGCGTTTTCTTCCTATATATTTCAATTTCTCATCATTTCCTCTTTTTCACTTTTCTCTCTTGTAATACACTATCGATTTATTTTCCATTTTTGACATGGCAAAGAATTAAAGATTGTTATTTGCAGTTAATAAAATGCTTGGTGGTCCATGAAGATGTTTGAGAAGCTCACTGCTTGTTCCTTGGTTATTTTATGCTAACTATAACTCCATCTAGAATGGAAGAACTTCAATTTTATCATTATAATTTTGCAATAGAAATTCTAGGTTAGCTTTAGGATTCGTTTGGGATGACTTTTTTTATGCTTCTTAAAGCAACTTTATAGTATAAAAATTTAAATTTTTATACTAGAAAGCTGCTTTAAGAAGCATCAAGAATGCCGTCCCAAACGAACCCTTAGATAAAATCAAGCTATCAAAGATTCATGATTAAGTAAAGGTTGGTTAACTTGCAGTTAATGCTAGATATCGTAATTTCTTTATTTTTTCCATGACTGAATCTTGCAAGGAGTTTGATCCTAGCTATTGTCCTCCAATTTTTTTTCAATTTCTAGAATATTGGTCCTTAATTGTGTGATACTGTTGATTTACGTCATGTTCTTCTTGTTATTCCATGTTGTTAATTTGCATAATGAATTAACTGATTGCACACACTTTCATGTTATTCTAGGCTGAGCAGAGAAAGCAAGCAGCTGCTGATGTCTTGTATTAAAATTCACAGTTTGTTATGGTATGTATTGGGCATGGTGTTCGGACTACTGATTTAAGGTTGCACTTAATGAAGGTGAGTTTATTTATTTTTTGTGTTATTAACAGATTAGCTCTTTGATCTTGTTTGCTTCTTCAACAAATAGTGCATGTCTGTCATTATTTTGGTAAACATGTTGTTCAACAACAACAACAACAACAACATCAAGCCTTTATCCCACTACGTGGGGTCGGAATAACTAAATTTTTTTTCTGTTTATGTCATGTTACTTCTTAGCTATACTTAAACATATTTTTAAATACCCAACAATTGGTATCAGCTGACAGGCATTGTATCCTCAGGCCAATTTTTTTTGTGTGGAGCTTCAGCAAGACAAAACTGGTAAATGGACCAGAATTTTATAGTTACCTGGTACAGTCTGCGGATGTATGTTTCAACAACTCTCCTTTGAAGTGTAGGATCACTGTGGTCAAATAGAGACACAAGAGCATCCTCAACATCTAATGGAGCACCAACAAGATCCTCCATTCTTTCATTGGTGGCATTTTTTCTCCTTGGAGTAGACACACGCTCCCCTTCTTCAGTAAACATCTCAAGCTCTGAGAGGCTTATGGCAATGCTTGTGTGGAGTTCACTCAGTTTTGTTTGCTCAAGTAGTTGACTTGCTTTCAGAGCCAGTTGCAATATTGAAAGTATGTCATGCAACACGACATAGCTAATCCAAGAAGCTTAATTGCATCTTCATCATCACACCGAATGCTTCTGTTGTTATTCAGAAAAAAAAATCTGGCAATGAACTGATCTTAAATGTTTCTAATAGAGCGATTAACTGAACAGCTTCTTCAGACTGAGAAGGATTTAAATTCTTTCTTCCACACATAATTTCGAGAACTAAAACACCAAAGCTATAAAAGGCAACCTTTTCAGTAATGATTGAAGTCAACAATTCTGTAGCTAAATAACCAGGAGTTCTTCTTATTATAGAATCATTTTTTCAAAATAACTTGAGACATGAAAAGTTGTACCTTATGAGTTTGCATCAAATTATTTTTTTCTAGACATAATTTAATTCAAATTTTGTCAGGATGTATGTATCAACTAGCCACACAGGGCAATTTCCATGTGCTTGTAATATTCTTTCAAGAATCGCTTCATAAGTTTGTAATAGTTTTTGGACTTGTCATATTGACATATCTATTAAGATGTTATTACAAAAAATTGTTTATTGTTACTTTGTTGTAATTATAAGTAAGAACAATGGGTATTTTTTATCTTTTATTTTTTATTTATAAATTTTCATTATTGTTGTTTACATGTTATGAATAGAAATTATGTGATTTAATTGATTGTTGAATGGAAATTTTTTTTTTTTGCTAAATTAAAGAAAGAAATCAGATTGAAAATTTAATTTTTTTGCAAATTTTTTTCATAAAAACATTACTTGAAACATAAAAATTTTAAATTTTCAAAGAATTTTAGATTAAAATTTTTCTCTAACACAATTATATTTTTGTCTATTTCAACACACTGCTAAATTATTGCACAGAATAATTTTATATTTTATAATCTAAAAAAATTATAATAAGATCCTGCAATAAATAAACACACTAATTTATATTTTATAACATCAAATAATACTAATTATTATAAATACACTGTTTTTATAAATACATTATTTGTAATGATAAATTAAATTATTATAAAAAAATCGCTTTTACTTTACTCTGGATCTATCAAACCAAACAAGGGAAAGAATTCTCCTGCATTTTTTCTGCAGACAACCAAACAGGTGCAAAGCATTCAGAATGCAATGCATTTACTTTACATTGCATTTACTTTACACTGCATTTCTTTTTCAGGCAACCAAACAGCCCCTTAATCGCTCTGGTGAAACTGTTAGTAGGTACTTCAAAGCTGCATTACATGCTGTAGGGGAGTTACGCAATGAGTTTATCAAGCCTCCACCACCTGAAACTCTATATAAGATTAAATCAAGTAATAGGTTCATGCCATTTTTCAAGGTATAATCAATTTTTATTCAATTAAAACATCTTTATTTATTACGGAATCCTAAATATACTTTGTGTCAAATTTAGGATTGTATTGGCGCGATAGATTGAACTCATATTAAAGCTAGGGTTCCAAAAGAGAACGAAGCCGTGTTTAGAGGAAGGAAACCATACCCAACACAAAATGTTTTAGCAGCAGTAGATTTTGATTTAAGAATCACATACGTGCTTGCTAGTTGGGAAGATTCTGCTCATGACACAGCAGTACTTAAAAATGCATTAGAAAGATCAGATGGTTTATGTGTCCCAGCAGGTAAATATTATCTAGCTGATGGTGGCTATTCCACACGAAATGATTTTATTTCATCATATCATACCACAAGATATCACTTGAAAGAGTTCAGTTCTATTCAACCTAAAAATTCAAAAGAGCTTTTTAATCTACGATATTCCTCATTACGCACTAATGTTGAGCGTGCATTTGGTTCCTTGAAAAATCGTTTCACAATTATAAAATCTGAACCCTACTTTCCTCTACAAACTCAAGTTGAAATTGTGATTGTCTATTGCATACTGCAGAATTGGATAATTACAGAAGGCGGCGATGAGTTCATGCAATCCGAGGATGAATGGGCTAGAAGGAATCACTGTAGAAGAAGAGATCAAGCAGCTGTAGATGATTCGCGAGAATGGCTAAATAAAAGAGATGAAATTGTTCAATTCATATGGACTCGCATGCAAAATGATGGATATTAGATTTGTTTCTTTACTTTTTGTGAATTTACATGTGACTTTTATCCGTCTATAGATTGATTACAGAATGATGTGTTTATTACTATTTGTTATTGTTTGATTCTTTTGTGAACTAGTTAAGTTATAGTTTCGTTAATGCTTCTTTTATGAACTATAAATTGTTTGTTAAGGCATGTTTGTGAAATGCACTCAAAAAACTTTACTACTAGGCCATTCATACATTCCGTCCTGTTTAAGAGTTAAATGTGTTTATCATATTTTATGTAAGGGAAGAATGAATTCGTCACAAACAGAGATGAACGGTAATTCGAAAGCAAAGAGGAAAAAAATTTTATGGAGCTTAAAACCTGAATGGATAACTGGATTGCTTCAAATAATGATGGAATATGTAAAGGCAAATATGCGAAGTGCACAAGGATTCAAGGACTGTGTATCAAGGTGCAGCCCAAAAAAATGAAAGAGAAGTTTGGAATAGAGGTGACAAGTGAGCAATGCAAGAACCAAATAAGACATCAAAGAAGTGTGTGGAATCACATTCAGGAGTTAAAAAAAAAAAATCAGGTGTATCTTAGGATGAAACAAAGAAAATGATAGTCATGGATTAAGAAGAATATGCATCACATATTCAGGTACTACTTTAATCACATCATTTAAATTGATATTTTTTCGGTTAACAGTTTTTTCTTTATTTCTTACAGGCTTTTCTCAAGGATGTGATAGGAAACACTTGGATTTCCAAGTGTTTCTCACCAAGACCAAGTAGATCCAATGTAAAACTGCTGTCCACAGCAGAAAAACAGCCAAAAACAGTAGGAAAGCAAGAATATTGTAATTACAAATTATGTAGAGTTGAAAATAGTATGTGGTATTGGACATGCAACTGGAGAGTGGGCGAAATCTGAAAAATTCTCAGACTCCACTTGGAACTCAACAAATACATTTAAGTGATAATGAACACTCACAATTTATGGATGTTGGTGCAGATGGATCAATGGAGACTTAGTGGTATGATATACAAGTTATAGAAGATTCTATTGAAACATCAAAGAAATTGCTACCTTCATCTAGTACAGGAGGCGGCGTGAAAAGAAAGTCTAAAAAATCAACTATCGATCAAAATATCCATGAGTGTATTTGTTTGATGGCTGATAGTGTGAATGAAGTTGCTAACGCAATCAAGAGCTCAATAACATCTCCAAAACAAATTCGGAATATGTATAATGAACTGATGTTTGAGTTAACAAATATTCCTGGCTTTTCAGAAGAAGAGGTTGATACGATATATGATAATTTATCAAAAAATCTCACACTGATACCATCTTTCCTTTCAAAACCTACAGATTTGAAGGCTAGATGGATGAGTAAAGAGTTAGGAAACTGATTGAAGTTGTTGAAGATTTGCATATCTATTAAAGCTGTTATAACTATAAACTTTTTCGTGTTAATTAGTTCTATTTATAACTACAAACAATGGGTATAATTTTATTTTTTTAATTGTAAGTTTTTATTAATGTTGTTTACATGTTATGAATGAGAATTATGTGTTTTATTGATTGGAACATTGATGATTATTTTCGTTCTGATGCTGGAGATGATGTCCAATGTATAATAGATCAGTCTACTCTCCATAACTTTTTTTCACAAAAGCTCAGCTCCTAGGCGTAGAATGTCGAATACTCTCTTTTTTAAGACACATAAATGCCAGGACTTTGATACCGTTGTTTTATAACTTGGTTTTTTATTCCTTAAATTGTACTCGGTAGCCTGTTATACATATTCTGCATATGCTTTCTTAAGATTTTTATAATTGCCAGCACACCAAACCCATACAAATCACATTTCTCGGTGATCTTCACGGCCTGGCAGGCACTCTGAATCTTACTGCTCAGAATGTAACGGTCCAGCATTGGAAGTAACTTTGCCATGCCATAATCGGCAAGTTTGGGCTTGCCGGAGCCATCGATGAGGACATTGTTGGATTTCAGATTGTAATGGATGATGCCATGCCGATGAAGATGAGCCAAGCTCCTTGCCACGCCAAGAATTATATCAAACCTTTCTTGCCAAGAAAGGCAGTTCAATTCTGGGCTCTCGTGCAGGTTTTTGAATAAGCTCCCACCAGAAACAAATTCATAGATGAGGAGTTGCAGTGATTTTGTCCAACAATAACCTTCCAGACATACAAGATTTGGGTGCTTCATTTTACCAAACTGTATGATCTCCCTCTCAAATTCTCTATTCCACGCTTCGGTATTTTGACTCAAAATTCAAGTTGGAGAAACCTAATGTCTGTTATCCATGTAACAGAAGTTTAAGTTCTCTCTATGTGAGATTTGTTTTGTTTATTTTATCACATAATTTTCAGTTGGAAATTGCCTTGCAACATTTGATGCTATATTTTTTGACTTTTTTGGTAAATGTTGCTATTTTTTTTACCCTGAAGTGATGTTTGGTTTGTTCTTGGGTTTTGGATTTTCTAAGATAAGGTAGGAAATCATAAAGCTATACATTTTGAGTCAGCAAGTTTCCTTTTCCTACTTTTCTCCCGAATCTTAGAGCTCCTGATACTGATATTTCAACTAATACAGGAGCAGTTGAAGCCCTTGATGTTGCAGCTTGCACGAGTAAAGGACTTGGCCGTACCAAAATTTGGAGGACTCTTAGCATGGGAAGCAATAGTGCATGCAGCTGCTCGTGTTACTGAAATAGCTTAATTGGTTGAAAATTTTACCTTAATTCGATTTAGGTTTAAATAATTTAAATTATATAAAAATATTTTATAACACAAAATAATAATAATTATTATAAATATACTGCTTTTATAAATATACTTATTTTAATGCTAAAATAAATTATTACAAAAAAATGCTTTTAATTTACTCTGGATATACATAACCAAACAAGGGAAACAATTCTCCTACGTTTATTTTGCATACAACCAAACAGGCTCAAAGTATTTATAATACATTACGTTTACTTTACATTGCATTTACTTTACACTGCATTTCTTTTTCAGGCAACCAAACAGCCCCTTAATTACTTTCCAAATCTTAACAACAAGATTGGGAAATAATTTCTTCATACACCCCTCTCTCTCTCTCTCTCTCTCTCTCTCTCTCTCTCTCTCTCTCTCTCTCTCTCCACATTAACACCCCTTCCCCTCTTGGAATTGAATTCAAACTTAATTCCTCAAATCGCTCCCAATTAAAAATCTGAAATTTATTTCAGATTTTTAACTTGTTCTCCCCCTTTTAAACCTACTCCTGATGTAGAACGGGAGGTGGGGAAGATTTAAAAATTTTCAAATTTTAAACAAGAAGAATAAAGGAGGGAAGAGGTAATTAATATTCCCTAATCTTAGGCCATAATTAGGGAATAAATAATTAGAGAGGGGAGAGAAGATGGGCTGGCCAATTGAGGGAAGAGAAAAGGTGTCCACATATAATGTATGTGGGCCCATGCATTAATGGGAGATTGGAGAGTTAAATCTGAAATAATTTCATATTTAATATGATTGAATGATGCTTCCTAAAATAGATGTACTAATTAGGAAAGCATTTGCAATTTGAATATGGGATTAATTAATCAATCAATTTCAAAATTGATTAATTAATTAAATAAAGAAACTTCCCAAAATTAATGCAATTTATGAGGAGGGTGGATTTGAAATTTAAATTAGATTAATTCAAATTTGAAATCTTTCCGAATTAATGACATCCTAAATAAGGAAAGGATTTTTGGAGGGAAGTGATATTAGGTAAAGAGATTGCTGGCTGGTGGGTTTGGGTGATGGTGGGGATGAAGCCGGCGGATTGGAGAGACTAGTGGCTAGGGAGGTTGGCGGGGGTGTTGGAGGTGGAGCTAAGGCTGTGGGGAGGGAGAAGGGGAGATCGATTTTGTGGAAGTGGAAGGGTTTATGGGAGAATCAGCCGGTGGAAAGTGGAGGATTTTGGCCGGCGGTCAAGGGAGGAGGAGGATTTAGGGAAAGAAAGATACAACCGGGAGCCTGGACACATCCTGCAGCTGACGGGTACTATGTTGTCCTTCACCAAGGGACTTCAGGTCACAAGCCCGGACACATCCTGCAGCTGGTAGAAGCTATGAATTCCTCCCATAGGAATCTCACACAAGGTTCTTCTCAAAGATCACAAGTGCAAACACAAAATTTTATTAATCATCCAACATTACATTACACAAGTACTGGCCTCTATATATAGGCCTAAGAAACTAAAACAAAACACATATGCCCCTAGGGCTTACATAGGCTGACCCTCTTAAGTAAGGGTAAAAATGAAAAATTCATAATAAAAATAAAAATTACAAATAACAAATTAAGAGAATGTGGAATGATCTCGACCGTCGATCGTCGTCTCCTCCTTTGAAAATCTATCAGATGTCCGCATCATCTCCTCTCCCAACCCTCACCCTTGGCCGGCCACACTTCACCCTCTCCACTTCAAGTTCAAGAGAATATTCCTTCTCTTTAATAGAGTTCAAAGTTGCTAGTGATCTTCAGAAGCAATTGTCGTCGGGCATTCATGAATGGCCGATCCAGACCTTTACTACAGCCTCTCCTACGACGAGCAAGGATTTGTTTGCATTTTACATTCGACTTTCTTCGACGTCAACCCGCGCATCGACCACATCGTAGAAGAGTACGTGGAGCGCATCTTGGTACCTTGGTCGAGGCTATTGAAGAGTAACTTGGAACTGTCGAGTGGACGACTACAATCGATCATTGACAACGGTTTTTTAATCTCCCTCTTCTTGTATTTCTTAAAGTCTAACCATTTCTTTGTGATTTGATTGTAGTCATGAAGGTTGTGTTTGCCCGATTCTGTCAAATATTTGTAGCGTTAGGTAACAATGTTATTACCTCGCTAGGTATTTTTTTATTAGGAATGACCTTTCTTTATTAGATTTAAACGAGAATTTGACTTTTAATAGGACACAATGGAGAAAAAGGATTCATGTAGCCGACCCCACGTAGTGGGATAAAGGCTTGATGTTGTTGTTGTTGTATCAAAGAAAACCAATCGTACAAATAAATCAAAGGAGAAGTCATGAAGGTTGTGTTTGCCCGATTCTGCCAAACTTAGTAAACGTAGGAAATTGAGTGCACTTCATTTGTTTTCTAATCTTATTATTAGATTAGGGATTTTCGTTGAAAGCTACTATATGCGTATGTTGTTGATTTCCTATGCTAATTTGATGGTTCAAAGTTTTTATCGTGCAACTTAGCCTAAACGGAAGTGACCACTCGTGTTTTATTTTATCATTTTTATTTGCTAATAGTTTTAATTGTTATTACTCAAATCAATAAATCGTGCAAGCTCTTTCCAAAATCATTTCAAGCATTGTGGTCCTACATCATGAGACCTTGTAAGAATCAAATACCCATTATTTCTCTAACATTTGTGTGTATTTTTATGCATCAAAAACCCATTGGACTTCATAAAATAGATCAATTTCCTGCCATGATTCAGTCAAATATTTGTAGCGTTAGGTAACAATGTTATTACCTCGCTAGGTATTTTTTTATTTTAGATCTAATCTCAAAATAATGAGCTATATTTTCTAGATCCTAGTAGATTTCTCGGACAACATCCTAGATGTCCTTTACAAATTTGTAGAAAAGGTAGGTAGGTTCCCCCAATCTTTGGCTCCATAGAATTTATAAGCTAATCCATAAAAATAGAATTCTCAGCTTCCCAAGAATTGTGACTAAACATATTTGGATGGTTGCGTTGTGGTTCCTGTTTGATTTATAGCTTTCCCACTTCCTCTTGTCACAAGCATGGTTGATTGCAACCATTCACGAAAACTAAATCCATTGAGCTTGGGTTAGAGTAATTTTGAGGGAATGAACTCCATATGTGGGATGAATGTTTGATCCATGACTGGTACTGGTGAAGATCGTGCTTCTCGTGGGGTGAGCTCCTACACTACCGACCTTTCATGGTGTGTCATGATCTCCACCAGACTTTGCACTATCACCTCAAATCGAGCTCTAATATCATGAACAAAAAATAAATTGTAAGAGAATTAAATTTCTCTTGTTTTTCTTGCTCAATTATAAGGTATTTATAGACATTTCTCATCAAAACAGTAAAAATAAACTCTTATGGAAGCTAATTAAATTACATAGATTGCTTCTCCTTCTATCTAGAATCAATATATGATGTGTATCAATCTTACTTACTAAATACAATTAGAGATGTCTATAAATAGAATAATTGAGGAAAATAGGAGCCAAATCAACCATCAGATTTAATATGAGGAGGCTGCCTGCATGGAGCAGCACAGATGGCAAACAGCAGCTTCACATGATCACGACAGCTGCAGCAAATCAAGGGATGATTACTAGAGGCGTGATTTTCTGCAGATGGAGAGGGAACTATTTGGATTTATGTGAGTGATTTTCTGCAGATGGAGGAGGAACCGGCTGGCTATGCGGTTAGGAGGTGAAATAGCAATTACAGTTAAAATTATTGCAAAAAAAAAAGATCAAAATAGGAATTCAACATGGTTTTACAGACCATCTATTTTCTGGAGAAATTTAGAACTGTAAATGTCATACACTATATCATAGACTTGTAGTCAGTCATCTATTGTTCATTGCAATCAAATAAAAACTTTCGCATAAAACCACCCTCTTGAAATATGGCCCAGTCCGCAAAAGATAAATTAAAATTAGAAAACCATGTATAAATTAGAACTTAAACCTCAGATTAGAAAATGTCCCTTAGAGATTAATTTAAAACTTTATTGGAAAGCAGAAGAATATGATTTCAAAATAAAGAATCAAATATGCTCGAAAAAAAAAAAATCTTCAAGATATCATAATGGTAACAAGAAAGTCATTTACTTGCTGGATACGAACACGTTTCCTAAATATTTGTTCTTCATATACAGCAACTGACTGAATAAAATGCTCCACCCTCTCCAATGAAACCTATAAACATGAACAGATATTGGTTTGAGGCACTCAGAAAACTAGTGGGCATTTTCCAAAAAACAACAAACTAAAAGAAAACAGAAAAGAATCAATCCTAAATTCTGAAGCGGATGGAAAGTATAGCGGATGGTATATGAGGCCATCTCAGCATAAATCCAAATTGAAAAACTAAAATTGATGAAAATTTCAAGGATGAATGGTACACAAACAACAAAATATTATGTGAATCTTAGCTAAGTACAAGCAGAGAGAAATTACATCACCAGCATCTGTTAGATAGCCACCCATAGCTGCAAACTCCCTCTTATACACAAACATGAGTAGGTTAATTGCACCCTGAAGCGAGTAAAGTTACCTTAATTGAATAGAGCCACAAAAAATATCACAAAAATAACATACTTCAATGTTTAGGAATTGGAACATGCACTGCAAGGTTAACCAATTAACAGCACAAGTCCAAATACAAACCTCACGGATTTCCAATGTCGGCATATGCGGAAGAAAATCATTTCCAACAAAAAAGCACATAAACACGAAATCGTCTATAAGTCGTTCAAAGTTAATTGCAAATGGTGGATCTGTTATCTGCAAATCATACTCCAAATATTCTCGCAAGACCCAAACGTTAAGGAACTACAAATAAGAGATTAATCAATAAGAAAGAACTGTATCAGTCGGTCAAAATGATAAATAGAAGAGGATATTAATAAAGTAAAGTCCTACCTGATATTTCTTTTTGTAGATAGGGGTGTCATCTAGAGCTTTGTCGCCACCGCCAGAAGCATTTTCGTTAGACTTGCTTCTACACTCTGCGGCAAGATGCCCAACCTGACCGCACAAAAAACATTTCCCCTGATGCCCTGGCAATGACACCATCTATTCAAGTAGTTAGTTAAATCACGTGACTAAAATCATTGCAAAAAATGAATTAAAATGGATCGAGTAGCCGCAAGATAAAAACACACATGCACAGCCACAAGTGTGTGTGTGTGTTTGTATATACATGAAGAATGGTAAATCCTTCCAAAAACATAATTAATGATCTTTACCCACCTCCCTCAGAATATAGAAATGAATCTCATGAGTAGCCAAAGATAGCATAATCAAGTCTGCATCCTGTTAAAACATGTAATCCATTAACATACTTGGCATATTACAAAGGGTGGTGAAAGATTTATTAAAGAAAAACAGTAGAAGTTTTGAAATACTACACACCAAGCCATACAAACAATGGCGCGTATTTGGATCGAAGCCAGGAAGATTACGCTGTAACCGTATGTAGGACATTATTTTGTGTTCACCCTCGCCAGGAACATTTGCATCAGATAATATTACCTTCAAACGTCAACCCAATGTACAGCATCATTAATGCACATATAGGAATGTCCAAAGACACATGCAATGATAAATCTGTGAGCAAGAAACATTAATAATCCTATGTTCAGCATAGGCTTATATCCACACCTTAACAGATTTCCACCCATGACAGTGTCCCAACCTCAATTGTATGTAATATTGAAGTGCAACAGATAGTGCAGCCATAAATCGAGTCCCAGGGGTTATAACATTTGAGTCAGATGTCTCACGCTTATCCATCAGACACAATTGTTTTGCTCCCTCAAACTCCTGCCTCAGCCTTTCCTCTTCAGATGCCTGTGGATAAATTGTTACAAATAGAACTGGTTATACAAATAAGAGATCCATCACATTGCTTGTAATAGGGGCTGCCAGAAGCTTACAGCTTCGGCCGCATCTTTTGCAGCCCTAAAACGCCGGGTGCGCTGCTGATTCATTTTGGCCCGGGGGGCAACACCATCTGCAATATTCAGGCATTAAATGTACAAATAAAATCAGCTAAGAAAAAAAATTATGTTAGGATGGCATCAAAAGACAAAGAATCTCACCTATTGCCATATATAATAGCTTTCTTGGGCGAACCAGTCCGAAGAGATGATCAATATATTCAAAAATTGACTTGAAAACATCATCATAGGTTGCAGGTGCGGGCTGCAGAAGAAAAATTAATTTTAATACTCTTTGACGGACCAAATGAGAAAAACGAATTGCTTCTAAAACGTAAAGCATATATTGCAATAACTTACACTACATAAATTAGAACCTCTAATTTAGCTGTGCTAATAACAATTAAAGAATACAACTAATGTTATCAGCAGGTCGTCACTTGCTGTACCTTGACAGCATAACAACTACTCCAGGGAAGCATACAGAAGAATAGATGAGTATGGTTCACTCAGCAAAGGATTTTCAATTTGATGGATTATTTAAATAAAATTCCAGATGTTTTTATAAACAGGGCAATAGTTCCAAAACATTTAAATAAAAATAGAGTTAGCATTTTTTGCAGATAAAGACAACCAACCTGGTTTTATGGCAAGGGTTTTTTTTTTGAACCCGGGGGGCCAGTACTACTACAATTTGTTATGAAACATTGACATTACTCGGAGGGTTTGTTGAGAAACTCTGGCATTAACTATAAAAGGTTTCATGGAAAACCCTATAGTGCTGCCATAATTTAGATGAAACCCTAATAGTGATGCAATAATTTAGAAGAAACCCGACAAAAACTTTCAAGATTTCAAATAAACCTAGCATAAGGTCTGTGTTAATTGTACTCCTTGTTTGCAAAACAGGCTAAACTGATGTCCTTGTTTATAACAAGGAGCTTTATACAAAAATCAAGAATTTGATCTAAAGTTTTTTTCTGTTTGTTTTTGAGAATTTCTCTTGATTGAAAGTTATTAACAAGCTTCGCATATAAAGATGATAACCATTTCATCTGAACGAAACTTATTCTGACTGCACCTCTTGCTGGAAGCATGCCTCGTTTCATGCTTTGAACAGCTTCACTCGCACACAATCAACTGTTACTAAACATGGAACATAGAAACATCCATCAAACCCCCAAAAATATCAACCCACCCCCACTCCCCCAAGAACAAAACAAACGATAGGTGTAGATTACTGTTCATTAGTGAAAAGCCAGCTACTTTTTAAATGGGCAACGTAACTGTTCTCCGTAAATAAGTCAGAAATAAGACGGTATTGACCCATTGAGTGCTCTAGAATGTAATCAAACAAATAAGTAAGGCAGGAATTGGAACTAGTAAGTGAACTTCTTGTCAATAAAAGCGTGTTAAAAACACAAATTCTGCTAAAAAAACATAATTTCTGAACAACCAAATCCTCTACTACTAAAAATAAAACAACATCTATCAAAACAATCTACTGTTTCCAGACCACAATATATCATGAACTTATAAATGTCTTCTACTTAAATTTTCACCCGCCAGTGCAACCAAACAAATTGTCATCCTCCACATTACCCAAACTCGCATGCTAAAAAAAATAATGCATATCAAATACAGAATATAAATTCAAACTCCCCTCAGCAGCCCATTTCTCTGTAAATCTAATTTCTTCACAAATAAGGTGTAATAATTTAAGAAAAAAAAAAAAACTGACCCTGCCCTCCGGGTGGAAACAAGGATGGATAATGCCATTCATGTCGAGGTAGAGATTGTCAAACTCGATTCCGTTCGGGTTCGGCGCAGAGGGATCGACGGAGACGGTTGCTCTGCCGGGGGCCTCCGTCGGCTCCTCCTCGATCACATCGACAATCGCCAGAGGATAGCGATCGGCAAGCCAACGGTAAAACGCCGGAACTCCCATCGTCGCCGCCGCTCGGACGCTTGATTGCTCAAAAAAGTAGCAATTTGGTAAGGGAAAGGGGAACCAGTTGGAGGGAGCAGACAACTAAGCTACACTTCAATACGTAAGCGCCTCCTAAACCGATATGTATTCCGTGTATCCGGATCCTTCCAACCATTTAAAAATCTATCTAAAATACAAATGGGCTGGGCTAAAACCGAAATATTCGCTGGTTAGACTAGGGCTAAATTGGGAACAGCTTTTTTAATTTAAAGTAGTGTTTATAAATTTTTTTACTACAAATTTATTTAGGGCAGTAAGAAATATTTTTAATAATATTTTAGTTATTTTCATTTGTAAGACATCACCACTCACCGTTTATGGCCGCTGCTCGTCGTTCATACTTCGTAGGCCTTGCTCTGGAGAAAATAGTCAGCCATCGTTTGATCGTCGTAGTCGCTGCACGAAGTCATCGATGTCACACGACCTCGTCATTCTCAGATTGAAGATAATAAAAAAATTGAGGCTTTAACACTCGTTTGTAACTTTGAATCTCATATTTTGCTTCCTTTTTTGCTTGCACAACTTTGAGCATGATTTTTTCATTTTTCCCCTTTATGCTAAAAACTAAAAAAAATATAAAATAATAAAGCATTTGTGAGTTTGTGAAGCATTTAATTGAGATTAATTCAAGAATTCTAAATATTGTTGGAGCTTCATGTAAGAGAAATGATACTCTAAAAACAATTCAGTGTGATAAAATAGTTTTTCACCTAAGCATTGGAGAGTCAAATAGTGGTCGGTGTTTGAACCAAAAAAGCAATTCAACTATATAAGAGAAATGATACTTTAAAAGCAATTTAGCTATGTAATATGTTAAATTTGTCTTAGCAGTACATTTAATGATTGATATTTTATTGATTACAAATAAATTATCACAAGCCTTACAATGAATGATCAATATATCATAAATGCAATGAAATTTGTATAAGTGTCCAAACAATGATTATAAATAATGAGGGCAAATGGATTGGAGCCCTTATTGGAAGAAGTGAAACATTTTGGTAATATTTTTACACTGAAGTTCTAAATATGAACTATATATTCAAAACTCGTTGACGATCAGCGTGAAAAAATGAACAAATAATAAACCTTCATCATTATGGGGATGATTTATCATACACTATCTAAGCCCAAGTAATATATTATATACTTATGATAAGAGAGAATTAATTTGTCTTGCAAAATTATATCTAATAGGTTTTTATATGATTGATCTTGTGTCACTTAAACATCAGCTATATGCTTATATTATTGATATGCATACAAGCGACGAGTTTACATCATTAACTAGCATTACTGCTCTTACAAAGAATATTGTAAAGACTAAAAAGAATTTTGTGTGTATATTGGTTTATAGACTTATTATTTTGGTACTGATTTTATCAATTGTTACTATTATAGTTGAGAGAGCATTTTCTATAATGATAATTATCAAGCATCAATTGCGTAGCAAAATGGGTGATATATGGCTCAATGATTATCTAGTGTTGTACATTGAATGAAATATTGACTATGTTCTCAATAAAGTCATTATATAACATTATCAGAAAATGCAAAGTAAAATGCAATACTTGTGTTGTGAGCTATAATATACACGGGGATAAAGTTATAATCTTATGTCTTTGCATTTTAAGGATATCTAGCTCACACACAAAGAACACAAGATTTTTTATGTGAAAAACCCTAAAATGGGAAAAACCATGGGGCATGACCCAATTAAAAATGATTCTACTAGAATTCAAGTAGATTATAATGGGATGACTTATCCTTAAGGGCAATCAGATTATAAATGTCAACCGATGGTTTAAATCTAGTGACAAATGGGATGAAAATCTGGTGTTACTTGGTGGTCCGTCAGAAGTCTGGAGTCAGTTGGTAGTCCAATAGTGATTTGGCAGAACTTCTGTGTTTGGCAGCGGTCCGACAGAATCCTAGTGTTGTGCAGTGGTCTGATGCATCAAGCATTAGCTAATGGTCTGACATAACTCCAGACTTCATGAGATGGAACGACAAAACTTCGGGTGTCAGAAGATGGTCTGGTAGAACTCCGGGCGTCAAATGGTGGTCTACCGGAACTATGGACATTAGGTGGTGTTCATGTGGAGCTCTGAGCATCATGTGCTGGTCCAGTGGGGCTTAGGGCATTAGGTGGTGGTCATGCAGAGCTACGGTTGTTAGGTGGTGGTCCGGTGGAATTCAGAGTGTCAGGAGATGGTCCTGTTGAGCTCAGGGCATTAAGTGATGGTTTGTCGGAACTCTAGGCTTCAAGTGGTGGTTCGATGGAGCTCAAGGCATCAGGAGGTGGTCCGATGGAGCTCAGGGCATCATGTGGTGGTCCGGCGGAACTCCGACGGTGGTCAAGTAGGCAAGGAGGCAAAAGCGATATCTGATATCTCTCTTTTCTCCTTAGGCTTAGGGGTCCCATGTTCAAGAGGAAGGTGATGTCTATTTATAGATGTCATAGAGTGGGATGGCCCATAAAAAGAATGAATATCAAGGGTAAATGGGGAGTGGTCTGGATTGATGGTTGATGTTGAATCCCTTAATTATATATTGTTCGCTTGATCTTTGAAGGTCTTAATGTTGTCGAAATTCCATGATGTTGAACTCATTGGATTCGTCTCGTCGAGCCGCTCGATTTGATTATAAGCATGCCATGTTTGGAAACCATTTGGTAATCCAAATTGTGGTTTGAATCTTCCAACAATGTTTCGGGCCCTTGATTTGGACCTATTTGGGCTCTGATTGAGTTGAATTTGGAGTCGTTACATTTGTATTTTTGAGATGTTCAGTTCGACTGTAAGTTTGCTAAAATCGAAGTTCATATGGTCTTAATTTTAATTTCAAAAGTTTCCAACTTGATTTCTCCTCAAGATTCATGCCCGATCAAGATAAATTTTTGAGAATCGATCAACTTGCAATTATTATTATTTTTTTCATTTATAAATTATAATAAAATGCAAGATTTTGCTTAGAATTTTAGCTTATATATATTTTTATTTTTTAAAAAATTTATTATATAATGAGTTTGCCCACACAAAAAAATATAAGGCTAGATCTACCCTTGATTAAAATCATTATATTTTGGAGTTTTGAGAGGGTGTATGAGCTTAAAATTTGAATTTCTAATTATAATTGACTAAGGACATTTTTTGTTTGAAGAAAAATGGGTATAAAGTATTCTAAATGCAGGAGTTTTAAGCATATGATGTTTACGCAACTCACATTGGTTTGTTGGTTGGGAGCTTTGGATAACATTCAAAAGATGTTGGGTTATGGTCTTGCATATGTGATGTGTGTGTGAGCTTATCTTAATTGGCCTAAAAGTTCAAAAAGAGAGAGAATATGGTGTTTGGTTTTAAGTAAAACAAATACAATGTAAATTTTTTATTCATTTTGAATTCACTACCTAGCTTTTTTTGAATTTGGAAATTTTCATGTTTAGACGAGCTCCAATTACACCCTAAATTCATTGTGGTTACTACCACCGGCCGCCACGAACCACCGCCCACATTCGGTTGTCGACACTGATCGCCACCACCACTCGCTGCCAATCACCACCTCCACCACCACTCGCCACTGCCATCAATTGTTGCCATTGATGCCAACTACTACTATCACTATATGTTAATCAAATTGCACTTTAGGTTTAGGTTTGCTCAATATATATACATGTATTCTTTTGTTAATTATGAGTACATTTATATTTTGATGAAATAAAAATAAAATCATAATTGATGTGAATTATCTTGAAGAAAGGTTATTTGATAAATGTATGTTTTAATTCTGAGTATATTAGATAATTTAAAAATTGCATTATATTGTGTATTGAGGAAAAGTGTATAATAATTCTTTCAATATAGGTATTGGGGAAAATCGTAAGTGTATTATTAAAACCTTGACACTATATGACCCGTCCAGGTATAATGGGTTGTGACATGTTCAGTTATGAGTAAAAGATTGGTTGAAGATTGCTCAATCATGGGTTGAAGACTCAGTGAGTATGTGTTAAATATGCATCGATTATTTTTGAAATTTAAATAAGTAATGTTCGAATAATATTTGATTATAGTTGTGAGCTCAGTCCAAAAATTCACATCCTAGCCTATCTGTTGCCTCTTTTTTTGGGTTATGGATGAGAGTTTTAATGAGTAGGCTCTGAGATAATTTTTTAGAAGACATATTGAGTTTTACATAAAACATTGCCCAAAGATTTCGCCCTCGTTTTACTAGGACTTGTTGATCTGAGTTTAGGATTCCTATAGGCATAAGCCCCTATAATTAATTATCCCTTATGATAACAAGAGAGAACTTTTGATTATGGCTAATCATCAAACAAATATATAGTATCGGGCGTATAGCTAGTAGCAGCATAATTTGTTATAAAATTTAATATTTAAAATTAGAAATTCATCACCTTACAATAAAAGTGAATGGTGGAGGAAATGATGTTGAACACGATCAAGATCCCATGATTCTGCCGTCCCAAGTCATCATGATCCCTAGTCTACTTAGTCAAAGGAGGTAGTCGACCCAACCTGACAAAAATATCCTTGTTGGCAATCATGGGTTGCTTCGACCAATGATACCTTATAGACCTGTGGTGAATAATTATTTAAGAGGATATATTTGAATCCACCTTAGCCAATAAAGAGCTTTAAGTCCTCTCAATCTTATTTTATTGATTCATTGCTTAAATTTGGCATTGTTGGGGAACATACGATATCTAAGTATGATTGTAATTTAATGGTGTCATTTGGAGGTAAAACTATCAGTTAGAGGACACATGCCACATTCTTACTATAATGTGTCAATTTAAGAATAAACCTTAGTGATATTCTCAGTTAGACATTCCCTCTTTAAAAGTTGAAGTGCTTTTCAAACTTATTCACCTCGAGAAAGTGTTGCACAGTGTGGATGGATATTTGCTTTAAGTGTTTGATGATTGAATTTCAATTTTAAAGATTTATATTCTTAATGGATATGAAGCTTTAGGATTTTTGGGAGAATTTAAAAATTAATCCCTCCAATTGAGATTTATATTCAACATAGTCATCATAAGGATAGTTATAGGCAAGTTTATTATATTGGTCGAA